CATGGCAATGAAACGATATACGATAGAATGAATGTAAAATTAATGTTCTCCCATGTAAACTATCACATAATTCACAATAAAACATTTATGGGGGAAAAAAAAAAGAATTTTCTTATTGTTCTGTGGTGATTAGCTAAAATGATCAACTTAACCTCATACTGACCTTGTTGGCACTGTTAAAAAAATCGTTTGCCTTTTTTAACCAAGTTTCCCTTTTCACCATGAGCTGACCAAATTCTTCTTGAAGCCGGCTGAGTTTCTGGTTAGAAAGTTGTAGATGGTCTTTCTCCCCATAGTCCTTTGATAGCAGGATCCCAAGTGCCTCACTTTTCAGTCTCTCAACAGCATAATTCCATTCCTATAAAAGAGTATGCTCATTTAGTTTATTTGACACTACCCATCCCCTTTGAAATATCTAACAAAATGCAGAAAATATTTAGATATACTTAATATATTGGAAATCTGTCCTTATATTTCAAATCATGAAGGAGAAACTGCTACATGTCTGAGTACCAAGAAGTAGAAAGGCAGTGCTTAAGATAGTAGAAAAGGAGCCCTGCTGGGGCTACATGATAAGCCCTGAACTGCGAACCACAAAGTCAGCAGTTTAAACCCACCTGCCACTCTGAGGGAGAAAGATAAAGCTGTTGGCTCCCATCAAGATTCACAGCCTCAAAAACTCTATACAGGGTGACTAGGTTGGGATGAATGGCAGATAAAGCAGCCAGTTGTCAGGAACACAAGTCACTTCGAATTTCTGTTAACTCCATCTAAAAACACACCGAAAATGCAACGAATGGCAATTTTCTATCTCTAGCTCAGTTTGTCCTATTTTAATTTAAGTATAAAAATTTATTTTCCCACAGTTAGGTCTCACTCTCAATGTGGGGAAACGTGTACAAGAAAGGAAGGAAAATATCATATTTTATGGCTGGTTTATTGTGTGTGTGTGTGTCTGCCTACACTTGAAACTAAAATAAAGATGTTTGTTATTCACCATGAGAATAATATCGATTGTTATGCAATATTCCATCCTTCCTGACCCTAAATTCTCCTCTCAATGTTTCTCTCAACTACTTTAGCAAGATATAAACATTTTAGAAGAAAAGAGGCAGCTTTTTACTTTCCATTGCATGTGATAAAAACAGTAGTATAGAAGAAACAAAATAACAGTTGGAGTAAACCAAACATATAAATCAACTTGGATAGAAACTCAAGTTTCCTTCAAAAGGACTAAAGCATAAAATAATTATCTTTAAGATGACAGCCTTGTTAGTAAATGGTCTACTATTCATCTCAGCTGAGATTGGCTGGTAGGCATAAACTATTTGTAAAAGCATCAGAGATTAAGCACCAAATTGGAAAATCTCAGCCTGACTCCATCCTGGCTTGTTCCCCTGGTGCTAAAAATCCCATTATTAACTTATATTTGTTATACTGAATTATTTATAATAAGTATAATTTTAGTGCAATTTACCACTGCTGTTTCTATTTATTTGTTCATTTCACAAGATAGACTAAATACTACGTACTTGGCACTATACTAGGACAGATGTCTTGGAGGATAACAAGACACAATAAAGTACATACTTTCTTTTAAAAATACATAAATTGTTATTTTATGTAATTGTCATATACGCTTACACTAGAAAATGAAAAAGTGCTGGTTCTATATACACACATATACTGTGACAGCATTTCAAGTAATAATCAGTGAGTGTTGAAGGTAGAGATTGTGTATCATATTTTGTGTTCTCATAGAACCTGTTCTAGTATCTGTGTAGCAGACAAATACTTTGATCAATGGATCCAAGAGTGAAGCAGGTAGAAGAAGAGATAGACATTTTTTGAGTAGTGTTGTTGCCTGTAAGCATACACCTCACAAACCCTTAGATTAAGAATTATTATTATTATGATATTTACCTTGACTCAGGGGAATACATTACTCAAAATTACAGATCTAGTAAGCAGCAGAAACAAAATTAGTTCACAGGTCTGGATATCGTACTATATTCCAGAAATGAAAGTAGAAAGAGTCCAGAAAGTCCATAGTTTTCAGTGGGTATGAAAGCGATACTCCTGGACATGGATATGGCTCCTTAAGTTCTCAAGGTCCTTCGTTTTCTTGAAAGAGCTACTGAGTCCCCACTTAAAGACAGCTAACATATGCCATGAAGTTCTTTTGTGAAAAGCACTGTAAATATCCCATTACCTTAATTTTACTGGGAAATGAGCAAATATTTTAAAAACATGTAGCAAAATAGCTGGAACGTGTAAGCACTAAGCACTAAGGTGTGTCATACCCAAGCCATGGCATTTTCAGTAACCTCATATGCATGTGAAAGCTGGACAATAAATAAGGAAGATTGTAGAAGAATTGATGCATTTGAGTTATGGTGTTGGAGGAGAATATTGAAAGTGCCATGGGCTGCCAAAAGAACCAATATTATCTGTGTTGGAAGAAGAGCAGCCAGAGTGCTCCTTGGAGGCCAGGATGGCCAAACTTCATCTCTCATACTTCAGACATATTGTCAGGAGGGACGAGTCACTGGGGAAGAATATCATGTTCAATAAGGTGGAGGGTCAGAGAAAAAGAGGAAGACCCCCAACGAGATGGATTGGCCAAGTGGCAGCATTGATGGACTCAAGCGTGGCAACAATAGTGAGGCTGGCCCAGGATCGGGCAATGTTTCATTCTGCTGTGCATAAGGTCTCTATGAGTCATTACCAACTCATTGGCACCTAACAACAACAACAACATAAGCACTAAGTGTTAGTCCCATTCCCAAGATTCACTGGTATTAAGTGCCGTCAAGTCAGTTCCGATTTATACTGTCCCTGTTTAGGGTTTCCGAGAAGTGGCTTTTGGTTTGAGCCACTGACCTTGTGGTTAGCGGTCCAGTGCTGATCCGACAGCACCACACTGGGACTCCCAAGAGTCACTAGTACTCCAAAATTCATCTTATATTTTATGGGTAGTTTTGTTTCCTAATTCTAAAATTACTAGAGTGAAGCATTTTCCAAAATGTTGCTGGCCAGTACTATAATGAATGTTTGGATTTCTTATGATAAGTAAAGTAAATGGATTTGTTTAGTGCAATACTTCTCAGTATCTTTTATGCTAATGTGCATTGAGACTTTCCATGGGGGTATGTGGCATGAAAATATTGGTCATACTTCCTTGACCAAAAAACTGTTTGCTTGCTAATTATCTCAGGGCCAGTGTCTAAGTATGATATGTTGGAAAATACTGGTCTTGTGGCTAGAATCAGCAGAATCACTTAGTCATACACATACCCTCACAAATCTTCCTGTTTTTATCTCTCCTCCACCCCCCATCCCTCCAAATATCCAGTCTATTTCCTTTCTTTTGTATTCATGCTTTTTCTGTCTGTTAAAGATCTGTGGAAACATTAATCTTTAACTAACTCAGATAAAAAGGTGCTGACGGCCGGGGGGCAGGTTTGTGGGGTGTACACTTTGGTTGTTTGAATGGTTATATATCCCATGTAAACTATCACTCAATTCACAATAAAAACTTTTTTTAAAAAGAAAGAAAGAAAAGATACTCAATGAGTGAAGACACTAAAGAAAAAAGCAATTCTTTTTTTAAAAATGGCATTGATCAAAACCTCTGTGCTCTTTAGGTGCAGACAACAAAGAGAACACTTAGGGAAGATCTAGAAAGCTGTTGTTGATGTGCGCCATCAAGTGAATTCTGACTCATAGAAATCCTAGAGAACAGAGTAGAACCATCCCCATGGGGTCTACTAGGTTGAAAACTTTACAGAAACAGACCACTTGGTCTTTTCTCCTGCAGAGCCACTGATGTGTTCACACCACTAACTTTTCAAAGAACAAACACTTAACCATTGTGTCACCATTTCCACACTAGGGGAAAGTAAAGATGTAGTGTAAGGGGTTATTGCCATTATGTGCTTAGACTAGACAATACCTAACTTGGGAACTAATCTTAAAACAGTGTGCAAGACAGAAAGGGTTGATTATTTTTTCCTATATGCTAGCACTATCTAAATGCTTTACATACATTATTACCTTTAATCCTTACCCTAGCTCTATGAGGTAGGAACTATTATCCTCACTTTACAAGTGGGATAACAGGTGCTCAGAGAGATTAATGACTTGCCTAAGATCTCAATACTAGTAAGTAAAAGAGCCAGAATTAGAACTGAGGTGGTTTGACTTGAGAACTTGCTCTCCTAGCCCCAGTTCTGTATGGGGGTGATGTATGTACTGTGACCTTCACAACACAGAAAGAAGATACATTGCTTTTGTTGTTGTTGCCAGTTGTCATCAAGTTGATCTGGACTCACGGAGACTCTGTGTGTACAGAGTAGAACTGCCCCAAAGGGTTTTCCAGTTGTTGACTTTTAGGAAACAGATTGCCAGCCGTGTTTCCCAAGGTACCTTTGTATAAGTTCAAACCACCAATCTCTCCGGTAGTAGCCAAGTCCTTAACTATTTGCACCACCCAGGAACTCTAAATGAAATATATACGGTTGAGTTGCTTAGGTGACACTTCGACCGAGCCAGGATAAGGCTTTGGTGATGATGGCAGGCTTGTATGACACTGAGATTTCTGATTTGTAATTGTAAGATTTTCCTGATTCAAAATAAACACAATGCTATTATAAGTATACTTGAGAACGTATAGCCAAAACTCAGGCTTAATTTTGCTTAGCAACTGCACCAAAATAATAAAGCTCTACTCTATGAAGAAAAGAAATACCTGTTGTTGGCTAATAATACTCATAAATCTACCTTTAGTATAAATTTTGCAAACAACATTAAAGAGAGGCTTTGGGAATACTGCCAAGTCTTTGAAAACCCCTCTTTAACCTTGTGCATCACATCATGCTATAAAAAGTGGGCTGTGACCTTCCAATGAGACTGTAAAGGACCATTTTGTGCCTCTTATCTTTTTTATTCTCCATCCCCAGTCTTCTTAATTACATTTCCACATAAACTCTGTGGGCATTAAATGAAGCTGGGTCCATTCAATATTTCTATTCAATCTTCTCAGAAAATTGGCTCTGTTTTCTTTGGGCAATCCATAGGCAGTTTCTGATGCATTCCCATACCATTCTCATGATATATTCCTCAACCATTTTTCTTAGGGGACGTGTTTACTATTTTATGTTTAAGATAAAACTTTCCAGAGTTATCTGAATCCATCACACACTTTAAAAACATATATAGTTGTGACTGTTGTCAAGGCTAGAGGAATCCAATGACGAAAACCTTGGTCTGTTTTCTCTAAACCATTGCTGCCTGCCTGCTAAGTGTTAAACTTCTGACAGGATTTCAGTCACTTTGCAATAAAATATTTCCAGTACT